TGTTCAACTTTTGACGATTATTAAAAAATTGAGGGAAAGCAACAACAAAGGGCAATAAGTTGTGGGAAAGCAGTGCGCGTACACCGAGAGAAAAATATATATATAATGGATAGTAATTTATTATTGTATATTTTAATATTAGCAGACGAGCAAAACTACTAATACTTAAGCAATGTTGCTTATGTCTTGATTCATGCTTAAAGCGAAGAAGTGCTTGAATTGTTCTCTCAGCTCATAGCTCATTAAATATGAATACAATATATGTATGGATGCTGTTGCAGCTACTTACTCATAATTAGCACCCACATAGCTGGATTTTTGGGCACCACACACATACAGATACACACACACACACACACACTCACACACAACAGCCAGATTGAGAGTCTGGAGCGCATCGGGTAAGGCGCGGGTGGCCGCAGCTCATTTGCAGTTAATTTATGGGTCTGCATAAAAAGGGAGGCAAGCCCGGCAGCGCCGACTCAGTAGCAGGGTGGGCGAGGGGCGTGCAACAATGGTTGCTAATTATGCGCAAGTTTTTGGATCAACTTCAACTAATTGTCTGTCAGTGTGGCACAGGCTATTCCCAGAGATTGCCTCCAATTCAACTCCACGCCCCCAACCTCCTCCTTTTTTCCCAAAAAAAAAAATGAAAGGAAGTCAAGTGCAGATGGCAGGCTAAAGTTATGCAAATAGTATGTATATACAATCTTATATATATATATATATATATATAGATGGATAGATAGATAGATACTTGGCCATGGCGACTAGGAGACGTGCATCCCATGCATTGCATATTGCGCACATTATGCAGCTCATTATAATCTTTATTAGATTGTGAAGCGTGTCTCAAATAAATCATGCCAGCTCCTGGCAATTTTTTGCAGTGTAAATGATGAACCTTTTACTGTTTTCACTTTGCGTCGAAAGGATTTTATGATATTGAATGAGTCTCAAAGGAAGAAGATAAATATATCAATATGAGTATTATTTTAATCTTCTATTCACATCTTTAAAGATTTTTAAGCAGTGGAGCTCAAGGGATAACGGATTATCTGAGTTCGATTGTAAAAAGTTGTTATTCTTAAAGGCAAAAAAGATTTTCTTTGGCTTAAGCTAAACTATTTTAAAAGAATTCTATTTTTCTGCCATGCAACAGATCATTTATCAATTATATTGAACACTGAGCATTTTGTCAGTTATCAGTTTTTAATTGGCTTGTTGAATGCACCATTCGTTTAGTCTGTGCTACAATATGAAGTGAGTTCAGAGCTGCACTTCATGTTTGTTCCACAACGGTTTATTTTTACATTTTCTTGTGTATTTTAATTAAAGCAAATGCTCGGCGGCTTAAATCGCAGCGAGAGTTTTGCCATGTCGGAAAAAAAAACAAAAGCGGCCCAAAAAATCCCTGCAAACAGCAACAATAATAACGCGCAACAAAAGACAATTGTCGGATGGTCAGGAGCTGGCATGGTGGGGTAAAAAGGGCGGGGGAGGGTCAGAATTGTGCTATAAAAATGGCCTTTAACGGATTAAGATTAAAACAAGAGTAACAGAGACAGAAAAACCTGCAGGCGACACAAACTGGGGAAGGGAGAGCAGGGTAGTGTGTGTGTGGGGTGTGTTTGGAGTGTGGCATGCAACATAAAAGACGGTAGCAACAATACGTTTTTTCTACGCACGGCCAGACTTGGAACATAATTGGAATTTCCTTTTTCCTGCCCCCAGTACAACGAGCGTACTTCAAGCAAAGTGCCACAAAAGAACCTGGCTCTAGAGTTGCCTACGCTTGTTGCAAGCACGCAGTAGCGACTGCGCTGCCGGCGCTTGACCATCATCAGCTGCCACAACAACAACAGGCACAGCAACAATGGATGCAACAACAGCAAGAACAACTGACTTCATCAAAACTGTAGTCAAGAGTTTTTGCCTCACAAGAGAGATTCCCAAGAAATTAAAATATGTCGTTGGCATTAAATTGAGAGATTTAACGTAGCAAGAGAAAGAGAAGGAGCGAAAGGGAGAAAGCGACTTACGTGAGAGTACTTCGTCTTTGACTTTGTTTCGCTGACTTTGTTAAGTTCAAGGGTTACAGTGAATGTCGCCCCTTGAGTAAAAAAAAGAAAAAGAACACAAGCAGAAGCGCTTTTGTTGTATAGCCCGTAACAATTCTAGGAAACAATTTCGAGCTGAGAATATATGTATGTACATCTACTGATAAGAAATAAACACTATAATCTTAAATATCTTGTTTTCAATATAACTTATCTTTTCCTTTCCCTGCTTTGTGCTCACCTGAACATTCTCAGATGACATTAGACTACTCAGGATGATTTATAATGTATGTATGTTCATCTATTTACCGGGTTTATTCCACTCGACGATTAGTACTTGTTCTCTTAAAGCGCTTTTCACAGTTTCACTAATTTCTTGGGCTTGATTAAATGGGGCGCTTTGTATTATTATGATTAGTGTTACAATTCTGGCAAATTCCTAATCAGTGTTTTCCCAGGCTTTAGTGAAAGCTCGCGACGAAAATTAAGTAGGCTAGTTCCCGTTCCCAGTCGCGGCTAATTATGAAACATGGAATTTCGATACGTCGGACAACGATAGAAAGAAAACGAAGAAGAAGAAGACAGTGTCATCAGCGGGTTTTGAGGGCAGTCATAAAGAAAACACGAGAGACAAGCCCGTTTAATGCAGTTGAGCCTAGGTTAAATGTGCTTGCAACATTCAATTGAAGGCGCATGCGGCATGATGACGAGTTCTTTTAATGTTGGTGTTTCATCAAATCCGCTCACAAAAAAGAAGAAAGAATAATAAAAAATAAAATAAAAATAAAAGAATTACAGCAACAGCTAAGCAGCAGAAAATAATGTCGGACATGTTAACGAAAAAAAGTTGCGTTAATTAATTTCATTTACTTTTTTATTCTTTCTTTTTTTTCAGTTGTCGAGCACTTTGCAGGGGGCATTATGAGTGTGTCATGACATGTGGAACGCATTGAAGCCCGACATTTCCCAGGCATGTATGCATATATATATATATACTCATATATACACTCACACATACTCTTGATCAGGATGACGAACTACTTTTCTATGTCAATCTGCCTACCCATCTATGCTAAATAGTCGTTTGTAGAAGTCCGAGTTGTTTTATTCACAAACAAAAAACTTTCTTTTAGTTAGTTACTATTGTATCAGAAAATATTTGAAATAAGCAATAAGATATCGATATATCAATGATAGAACATATATATCGCATTGAAGCCTTATGTTCCACGGCTAAACTAAAATATTTAGCTCAAGCTTCAGCTATTTTATGTTAAGTAAAACTCGCTGCAAGGGCATTAGAACATTGGTCGTCTAAAAGTTAGTCTGTTTTCACTGCTGGCAGAACAACTCTGTCGAGTCAGATCCGGTGTTGCTGGTTGTTCGCCGTAACAAGTACTGGTACGGCTCTTTCTCTTTAGTGCCCCCACCCTGGTTGACCGTTTAGAGAAAGGTTAAACAAAAGACAGAACCGTACAGAACAGAAGCTGATGACGATTAAAAAAATAATAATAAAGAGGGAAAGAAAAGTGGTTCTACAAATGAAGCGGATGTGGTAATTGGTCGTCGTTTTCTTGCCTAGCTTTGTGATACCAGCAGAAGAGAAGATTTCTACAGCAAACTATCTATCATATGTTGTTATATATCCACAGGCCTTAGACAACGCCTCGTCATCATGATGATGATATGATGGCGGAAAAGTGCTCTTGGCTGAAATCATAGGGTATCTCATGGCCCACCAACAGCTAGCTAATATTGCAAACCAAAGATGTTGGCATTCGCTAACTTAGTAAGATAATAATTTGATTTGTATAATTAAGTGTCATCCGATTCATGGAAAATTCGACTCGTGACAAAAGCTTAAGTGAAAGATCACCTGCGAAAGATTGTGATTGCGATTGCGATTGTGGCAATTTCGTTTAATGTGTCGCATTTGGCTAAATAAATATTTGGGCACGAAATGTTTTTATAATGTTGACGATGGATGAGCGAAGCAGTCAGGTGGAGAACTCAATGACTTGAGCAAATGCGACAATTGTAACTCCCTCGAGGGTCGCTAATCGCTCAACTATTTATAATATTTGCTCGTCTCGATTACGACTGTTTCATTTTCTCTGCTTCTCGGCTTCTCTATTGCCTGATTCTGTGTTGGGCGCGATAAAAACGCGATACGCAGACTTCTTCTAGGCCAAAGCGTAAATATTGACAGAGCAAGAGCATAAGCGATAAGAAAACTGTGCCTGGCCATTTCGAACTGTAACTGAAATTGGGCTTTTGTTGATTTTGGACCTATTTACACGAGCGTTTTCAGGGTCTCAGTCTCAGGCAGCAACCAAGCCACGCCAGCGAAAGCAATTCCCTTCACATATCTTTTGCAAGATAATGTACTTTATTTTATTATGGTTGAATATTTATATGTGAGTTGTGGTTGCTGTTGCAATAAAATTACGATTTGAATTGGCCATGTTTATTTAGCTGTAGGAAAATTACAACTAACTAATAAAAACTATTCGTTAGTAACCCCAACATATATTTGCATACACTGATCAAAAATATTCATTGAATAAGATATAAAAGATATAATTTCTTAATATGCGGAATACATTTCTAAAGACTAGAAATCCTTTGCACTTAGCTGGCAATATCGAAAATGTAAAGCCAGATTTAAAAATGTAATACAGTTTCAGCAAAAAATGCGAGCCGTAAATCTAAAAAAAAATTTAAATTTTTCACTTCGCTTTAGGAGAAGAACTTCTTTTCTGATTGCTCGCACGTGTCTAATTATAAAATGCAAAACTGCAAATTGCACTTTGCGACTGGCCAAACACATACATCAGTGCATTTGTATATGTTGTTGTATACATGCATATATATATATATATATATGTGTGTATGTGGATCGGAATCGAGATCGAGATAGAGATAGAGATGCACACTCACCAATAGTCAAGCAGCTGCAGATCACCACATAATAGAGCAGTGTGGCGAGTTGAGCCACTCGTTGCCTTTGCAGTTGGCCCATTTTCCTTCTTGTTGTTTGTTTTGGCTTTTCTTTCTGTTGTTCTTGTTGTTCTTGTTGTTGTTGTTGACTTTTCTTGTCGTTCACTTTTCGCACAAGAATTGAATTGTATTTTCTTTCTTTATTTAGAGTGTGTTGTTTTTTATGTTGCTTTTTCTTTTGTTACAGCACACAGGAACAAAAAATGCATAAAAAAAATTGCAGTTGCTTTAATATGGCTTTAATTTTATAATTTGTGCACTATTTTTGACACACACACGCACACACACTCGTCGTTGGCAATTAGCGATACTGCGCTACTGCTGATGAGCGACTCCAAAGTTCTATCGATATTGAGTTTATCATGCGCTCTGTGCAATCTGGAAAAAACAGAATTGAAAGTGTGGATTAGTTTTTAATTACAAAGGGTACAAAGCAACGAGTGAAAAAAGTAACGAGTCGGCTTAACTACTTTAGAAGATACGTTTAAAAAATGAGCTTAAATTGAAAAAGTAAAGAGTAGAAAGTAACGAGCATTGAGTGGTAAAATCAAAGAGTAGAGTAGCTCAATTCTGTTAATGTTGAGTTGAGCTTAAACTAAAACTTTTACTAAAAAGATTAGCATTTGGCGACTGACAAACAGCGTCATTTTACAACTTCGAGCAGAGCTAAGGTCAAGCGGCAGCCACAGCTCAGTTAATTAAATACAACCAGAGCACTGAGGCAAGGGACCAACTAAGGAATGCACTTGGACAATTTCAAAGTGTCAAGCAGACGTCCAAACTAATCAACAGTTAAGTTATCGGGTGAAGCAACTAACGAAACAAATCATATTATCAGCTCTGAGAAGAACAATTTAAAACCCCGACAGCTGAGCTTACAGCTAAGTTAGCCAACGAGTGCCAGCAAACTAACGAATGAGCTTAGCCAACTTCTAAAAGCTCAAAATTGCGGGAAAGACAATTGAATTGACTGCGACAACTGCAAACTAACTAAACCTAAATAAATAAAAAACTAACTAAACCTAAATAAATCAACTAAAACGAGTGACTCTTCGTTGCGACGAGTAACAAGTGGAATACTAACGAATACGCTTAGCCAACTTTCGAAAGTGACAAACAGAACTGCAGACACAATTTGATTTCAGCATCAAATAGAGCCACAGCTAGTTTGTGTAACTAAATAAAACGAGTGGCTTACAACGAGTTGCCAGAATCGTATAACGAATACAATTCTCAACTTTTTTAAAATGGCCAAAGGCTGACAGACATTCAGCTGACTGTTTTGAATGCTTCTCGACAATTGAATTTAGCGTTAAAATAAAATGCCAAATGTTGGCCTTTACTATTTGCTGGCCAGTCAGTTGACTGACTCAACAATAAAGAACGTTAAAAACTCCGTTGCTGCTGCTGCTGCTGTTGCTGCGTCACACACGAGCGATTTTGTTGGCTAAAACGCTGACTAAAACCGGCAGCAGCGAAAAACTTGTCGATTATAAGAGACAGCGAGAGAGAGAGACAGAGCGAGAGAGAGGGGCAGAAAGAGAAAGAGAGAGAGAGGGAGAGAGAGAGAGAGAGAGAGAGGGAGAGAGAGAGAGAGAGAGAGAGGGAGAGAGAGAGAGAGAGAGAGAGGGAGAGAGAGAGAGAGAGAGAGAGAGATCAAACGTGTGTATAACATTCGCGCATTGTCTTCTATCTCATTGCATTCTTAAGTTGGTAGCAGAAGCAAACCTGCTCGGGCGACGCACATGTTGCCACCACCAGTGTTGCCAACAACCAACGAACAGACCGAGCAGAAACAAATGCAGCATTTACAAAACAGTTTCCTGATCAATTTCAATCGAATATGCCATGCTAATATATATAATAGGGAAATCAAGTTTGTGTTTGGTTGGTATGAAAAATGTTTAATATGAATAAATGACACATATTGACGAGAAAATGTAGGTCGTAGTTTAGACAGATCTTAACGCGATTGGGATCTCTTAAAAAGAGAGCCGACGCATAATTACCAAAAAGAAAACATTGTCAAAATGCATTCGCAACCAACTGGTTCTCACAACGAGAGTGTTAGTCCAATCCACATATTCAATTAATCCTATTCGGATAGCTTCTGGGTGCTAACAGCGTAGATCGATCGATAGACAAAAGAAAAAAGGCTAAAGTGACAGCACTGATGCGTGACGCTGCATGGCCAGTTTTTTGTAACGGAAATTGCAGCGCTGTCTGAAGTCTGAACACGTCGACTCCTCACAGCTACAGATGCAGCTACAGATAATAATTGAGCAGCACAGCGAGATAGGGGAGAGTGGAGAGGGCAACAATGCGCAACGCAACGCAACGCATACTTAAATAGCACACCGTACCACAAATATATATTATTTATTTATTTATTATATTTTTTTGTTGATTTATATATATACGATATATATTTGCTGCTTGACTTCCAATAGTAATTTTTTGGCTGATGCTTATCGTGCAGGTAGCCCAAAGAGTTCTAACTGCCTGTGTGTGTGTGTGTGTGGGTGGGCGCTCAAAGCGGTTGCGAGCGCTTCACTTATCACAAGAGACAAGAGAGCAGCAAAAAACAAAAAGAGAGAGCGAGAGAGAGAGAGAGAGAGAGAGAGAGAGAGAGAGAGCGGTTAAGAGCGCGCATTCAGTTTTGTTTGCAATTTGTTTGAGTCGATATTGTTGTGCTGTTTTTTATGACATTTCGTAACTGGCGCACGATAAGCAGCTGAACTGACTCACTGACTCTCACTAACACACACGCACACACATGTGACACACACACACACACACACACACAGGTGTAACAAAGCTAAATTGCATGGCTCTGGCTGTCCTTGAACTGCAACAGGTTCACCCAGCTACTCATTTGTCTCCTCCCCCACCCCCCTCTCCTACGACCCACTACCCCCTGTGTGAGGCATCTTCTTGAAGTGCTGGCAGCCTGGCAACGCTGCCAATAACACTTGACTTTCTTACATTAGGGGTAGTCTCCACATACGTATGTTCATTAAATCAATATTTACTGCGCTCCAAAACCCTTGAATTTCCATTATTCATAGTAAGCGAGAGAAATTTGGTCAGGTGAAAAAACTTTCAGCTAATAAAGAAAATATGCGAACCAGGTTAATGGTTGTTGTAACAGAGCGCTCGGAAAGTGGTGTCAAGCGAATTAGCCAAATGAAGCCGGGGAAAAGAATCACAAAGTGGCAAAACAAACACGACTCCAACAAGAGGCTTGCTTTCCAACTGGTCAACGGGTTGGGTCTTTAACACTCGGTAATTGTAATTGCATAATTCCAAAATAATTATTTTTTCACGACAGTTTTTTCTTTTGCTCATTGCTTGTATTTTTGAAAACTTTTTGAAAGTTGTATATAGACGAAAAAAAAAATGAAAAAAAGTTTAACGCTTAATTGTCGGCAATTTCCAATTTTTAAAGTTGTTTTTATTTTTCGCTTTAGTTTATCCATAAAATAATTAAGTGTGAACAATAATTTATTTTATATTACAAAATTGGAGTTTAGTTTTGAAACAATCTCAATAAATTTAAGCAGCAAAAATTCGAAATTTGGTTCCTCTAACTACACAGATATTCATATATTCAACTTTGGTTTTATATACGCAAAACAAATAAATCAAACTAGAAGTTATACTTGTGTATTTATAGAACTTGGGTAAAAAAATCAAATTTTCTATTGGTCCAAAAAGTTTTTACAACTTTTTAATAAATTTAATTGTTCAGTTGAACTTTATAAAGTTGCTCGTTTTATTAACGCTCACTGTGAACGTGTGTGTGTATTTATTTATATATATATATATATATATATATATATGTGTGTGTGTGTGTGTTAACACTTTAATAACGCACAGCAACAACAACAAATGGGCGTCATTCCACGAGCGGTTCAACAAAAAAAACCTGTTTTTCATATCGTTTAATTTTTCTTTGCTTTGCGTTGTTTTTTTTCTTTTTTTGTTATTATATTTTCGAGTTGTTTTTTCCCGCTTTGAACAAAGAATTCATGTTGCACTTTAGAGGTGTTGTTGTTGTTAAGACACATTTTATATCCATATTCAACTTTTATCAAGCTTTATTTAATTTACTTTACTTTTAGCTTCAATTTGTTTTTTTTTTTGGCACACGTGACTCACAGTTAAATGAAATAACTGCAACATGCCAACAGACAAGACGGAAAAAACTACAGTTTAGCGATCGCCAAAAAAACGAATAAAAAAATGCTCTTCATATTTTTATGCTTTTCGCCACGCTTTTTTTTTTTATATAGTTTCTGGTTTATTTTTAAATGGCGCAAGTTATTTATATTGAAATATGCGTGCACTTAAACAAAATATACAAACAAATACAAAAAAAAAAATACAAAAACATAAGCGACAAACAAAAATATGAGTATTACCAATATTTCATTGAGAGAGAGAGAGGGAGAGAGAGAATAGCGTAGACACGCACACACAGAGATAAATGAGCGTACGTACTTTATGCGATAAACGTTAAGAACTCGCGTACCGCTGTTGTTACCACAGTTAACTAATTTACGAGTTTTGGTTCAACGCCAACACACGACGGCAAACGGCTTACGACAAAAAAAGAGCAGACGACGTCCGCTCGCCACGAGACAAACGAATTCAGAATGAATCGAACGCGCGCTCTCTCTCTCTGACATAGCTAAACGCTGGCTAACGGCTCGTTGCTGGCGCGTCGCTTGGCAACTTTTCGGCAGCAACATGCTGCTGTACACACACAAACACACACGAACTCTGCATTTTGTAACGGACATGGCGTCGCCAGTGTTGCTGATTGCCGTGGCGACGCTTTGTTGCCAGCCGCGTTTGTTGCGAGAGCGCGCTTAAGCTTTGCAGCAAAGGCAACAAAAACAATTGCCGTTAGCAAATTTTTTAATGCGAAAAGTACGGCATATGTTGAAGGAAAATAAATATATGTGTATATGTATCTATATTTGTATGTTTGTATGTTTCCATATATTTCAATTGTATTATAAACTCTTCATATTTTCTTTGAGCCGGCAACATTGTACGCCGGCCACTTGTTGCCCATCTTGGAATGTGGCGCAACATTGTGCATTCGGTATGCAGCATGTTGCAGTGCGTTCAATTGCGGCACAGTCCCTGCTAGCAACACTCATGCAATGCAGATCGCTTGCACACTGGTTCACGACTCAAAAAACAATATTTCAAATACAAAGTTGAAGCAAAGGCATTATATATGAACTACTTGTAAGAATGGATTTTATTGGAAATAAAAGTATTATTATAATTTTTAAAGAAAATGGTATTTATAAGATAAAAAGATTAAGCAACTCTATAAATATATATTTTGCAGATACTTGCACACTTACAGCTTGCAGCAAAAAAATGGATTTATTTGAGATATATATTTCATAATGATAGATTCAAAGCTGATGGAATAATTTGCATACAGACGGAAAGACGGATAAGCCTATGTATATATATATATATATATATATATATAAAAGATATATGTTATGTGGATTCGGAAATGTCACCAAGCGCAAGAAGCTTTACGACGAAATTATCAGGATTTTAATAACGTTCTCAACTTTTGCTTAATTTAGTTAAGCCATTTTGATTGCAAGTCTTAATTGCAAAAACAAAAAAAAATGTGAAAAGAAAATAAGAAAATCGAATGGAAAAAGAGAATGACCAGTTGAGAGAAGTGGGCTTTTCCTTTGTTGTTTTCGTTGCGCTGGCAATTTGCTAAATGCAACTGCGTATCTGCGTATCTAACAGATGCGAATCTGAATCCGAATGCGATTCGCAGATACGAATTAGAGCGTTTTGGCTGCTGCCGCTATCTGCTGACGACTGCTTTTGCAGTTGCTGTTGATGTTGTTGTTGTGGTTGTTGTTATTTGGCAATGCCTGGTAATTTATCAGCAGAAGCCACCATCAGTAAACCCGACCAACCCCACCGCTCGCTTTCAATTGGCAGCACCCGTCGCCCCCTTACCCTTGCTGGGTTGCCAATAAGTGATTTATTGCATTGTTATTTTGTCGTTGATGTCGCACTTGCTGCAAACGCGTTTTATTTATTGCCACCGAAACCGATCTGAAGTGTGTTAATTTTATTTCCATTTTTCAATCCAAAACACCCCCAGCCCAATTCTCCCCAACTCCGTTCTGATCTTCGTCTTCGTCACAGTTTCGCGACCTTTAATTTAATTTGATTATTAATTCAATTTTTGAGGTGTTTTGGGCAATTGGTCACCACAGGCGATTCCTGTGTGCGATACACTGTTAAAAAAATGTTCATTTCAACTTTAAAAATGTCTACAATTCCTGTACAATTTGAGTGGCAATTTTGTTTTAATTAAAAAATGTAGTAACAAAAATTGGAATTTAAATTTAGAAAATGTCGAATTTAATTCATTAGAGATTCGATATTATTGAAATAAAATGCAAGTGCTTGAGTATTTATTTGAATTTAAAGAAATAACACAATTAAGTTAATAATTTAATTGAAATCAAACAACAACAAAATACATTTTGCCGTGTAATAAAGCTATCTAAAAATTAGATACCAATGGGTGGTCTGAAACTAATTTGATAAACCCCGCAGCTGTGTGCTTAGGTGTGTTTGTGTGTGTGTGTGTGTGTGTCTGTTACAATTATTGTGAAGCTGAGACACCTGCAGCAAATGCAGCAACTGCAGCAACTTCATTATCATCATTGACAGCAAGAACTTCATTAGGAAGGTGAATCCGAAAGAACAGACAAATTTCTCTCAAATTACTAATGATTATAAAATGCTTAATAACTCTATAAGCAATCAAAGGCATAACGTTGTATGTACCTACTCTCTCATTGTCTCTCCCTCTCCCTCTCTCACTCTCTCTCTCTCTCTCTCTGCCGCTCTTCTTCTGCCTGTCTCGGCTGCTGTATCTTCCTGCTGCCACAAAGCCATTGACTGACAGGTTTTGTCTGCAAGCAGCTCTTAACTCTGGCGGCATTGCAGCAGATCTATATATACATATATAATGTATCTCCGTCTGACTGACTAATGATGCCAGCAGATAAGAAAAAAATAAAACAAGAACATTAAGTAGAAGAAGAAGCATAAGAGCGCTCCATTCAAGCACAAAATGATGAATTATTGTTTTCAAATTTACCAAATACACAAAAGAACAAATGATATCTGGCTAAAACAACAACAACAACAACAACAACCAAATTTATAAATTGATATTTAACTATGCGCTTTGTAAGTTGATTACTTTTAAAAGGAGAACAGGTCCTTTGATTGACCTGAGGCATGGGAACACTTACTTCAGATTCGAATTCTGGCATTATTATGCTAAGATAATAAGTCCTCGTCTTCACTCCTTAGATATTGTTTAAATCAGTTATCATACTCTAAGCATTTACTGTCATGAATTTTGAGACAGACTGCCAAAAAGGTGCGTGAATTTTTTTAATAAAAGAAGAAATCTCTTCCTTTCTAGCTTTGTATTCCTGTTTATTTCCATATTTTTAGACTGTCAACTTTCTATTCGCGAAGCATTGAAGGAGACTTATTCGACTTCATAGCCATGCCCGTCTGTGTATCTTTGCAACCTTCAACTTATCGTACATCCGTCTTTTGATGCAGGCAGTTCATATTTTGGGCCACCTGAATCGCATTAATAGATCATGTAGCATGGGAACAATCGGTTCCTTTTTAGTAAAATAAGTTATATGAAGTTAAAATCATTGAAATCGGATTGAAGAAAGAACTCTTGTCTGATAGTCTCTTGTGTTTTACAAGACATTCAACCAAAAATTACCCGATATGTGTGTTACTAGGCTTTGTGTTGGACTAGTAAAGCATATGGCTTTCATAGTCGGTCTTATAGTAATATTTAGATAATCATAGCTCTGATTGTTAAGAGAGAAAAACTGTGCAATTGCGAAATGCACAATCTGAAAACATTGTAGGTCATATACAAAGACTGATACATATATATATATATATATATAGATTTGTGATTGCCCTTTGCCACCGTTGACCTTTTTTGGCTTTGTCGCGTGTCTGCTTCCATTTGTTGAGTTTGCTTATTTTCATTTTCATTTTCATTTTCATTTGCGCCTCGGCGGGTGGTCAAATCGAGATGCGCACGCGTGACTGCAACCCCTGCCCACTCACCACGCACCCCTACCACTCTTCGGAGCACCCTTATTGTTTTCCATAAATAATTGCCGCATAATACATAAATGGGTTCCAGTCCAAACATTCAGTTTAACTGACTGCTCATTCATTCATTCCATTCACATTTTCACATTTTGCGACTAGTTTTCAATTAAATTGCTAAAATTTATTGTAGTTCGCATTGCTCTTCTTCTTCCTCTTGGCATTGTTGCTGTTGATTTTGTGGGCGTTGGCAATCCTATTTAAAAGGGGATGAATTCATACGTCACACTAAAACGGGTAATTTCCTGTCTCCCGAAACTCAATTGACTGCAATTGAATTGTGCACTTTAAGTTTTGAACTAAGCAAAAGTTTTAATATTGGGGGAAACTAGTAATCATTAAATGGATAGAATCCCTTAATTGAACAGAAAGATTCAACATACAGCCATGCTTGACTAGACTAGACTAGAAACATTTAAAAGGATCGCTAAATGCAATCCGGTTTAAATCCATATTTGTGTTGGTCTGCGTCATCTCTGTGTGTCTATCGCCAACTATTGACCACAAGAATTGGTTTTTTTTTTTTACATTTAAAAAGAAAGATCAGCTATCTAAGGCAAGACGAGGATTAACTAATCTTGTAGGCTGGATTATTATACAGTTTTTGCTTGTGAAAAATAAGTGTTAGACATTTTTATCATTTTCTTTTCTATTTATCAGAGAGAGAGAGACTTGTAGTCATAAATATTTTGCAGGTAGAAATTACTAATATATAGGGAAATTGACTAATAATGTAATTTAAAATAGTATTCGAGATTCTGTTCAATTGCTGAAAAAAAATACAAGAACAAAAATGATTACTTTATGCTACTTAATACCATATACGAAAGAATTTTATATTTTATTTTGATGAATATTTTTGTTATTATAAATTCTGAGAAATTGAATTCCAACCGGAGTCTCAGACAAAGAAATGGAATCGTTGATTCAACTCGACTGCAAATCAGTCGGACGAATTGTGACAAATGTTGCCACATAAGCGAAAAGTTATACTTCGAAAAAAATGAAAGCGGTGAGGGTGGGAAGGGAGAGAAGGACGATTCACAGCTGTGCCTAGGTAAAGTATAATTAGTGCTGGGCGCAACTAATTATGGCCAAACTACGGGTGGTTCTCAGAGGTGCTTTTGCTGGTGTTTTTGTTGTGGCTATTGTTGTTGTTGTTGCTGCGACTGATGCTGTGGGCGGGCCTGTGGGTTGAGGGGGCGGGGTGTGTGGTGTGTTGTGGTGTTGGCAACGAGACAATGTCCTGTCGTCCAGTCCAGTGGGCCCTGTGTATGCCTCAATTGCACAAGACCGGGTTTCACGTATTTCGGTTGACATTTTCCATAAACTGTGAAACCCTTAATTAACTTTTCGCTGCACAAATAATGTTGTCCCAAAGTTGTTGT